AGCAACTGAAAGATACACTTGTATTCACTTCATGATTTATTTTACTACCTTTTCTAAGGGACAGATATTTTACTAGAGAAATAAATATCATGAAATGATGAAGTAGGTTAAATTATGATAAACATTCACAATGTGTTTCTAGGTTACCTATTTACAAAAAAAAGAAAAACAAAATTGGTTTTATGGCTCCATAATTTGTGTGCAGTTGGAGTATAACATAATCCTGTTAGAACAGGGATATTAAGAATATCTTTAGAAGATTCCACTGTTCGCAAAGAACGTTTTTCTAACATCTGTTACTTTGTCTTCAGAACATACAATTTCAGATTCTAGCTCCCATTACAAATCAGTTTAGTTATTATTTATCTCTTAGAAATTCATTATACAACAGGGAGTAAAGGAGTATTATACTTATTTGTTGTATGAAAAAAAAGTATATTAGAGGGAGAAAGATTTGGTGGGGAAGACTGAAGCAAAAGAAACAACCTAACAGGAGTTATTGGGCTGCAAAGAGGTAAGTTGAGTTAACATGGTATCTGTAGTCTGTTTTCATGTTGTAAGGCAGTGAATTCACACTATCTACTAAAAACGTCCTTTAGAGAGCACAGAGCAGACTGTGAGGCTAGTTTCTAAATTTACTAAATATTGTAGGATTTAGATAGGCTGAGCAGTTGAATCTGAATTAATTTCTCTTTTCTTCTTAAAGACTGGTGAAAATGAACTCTGTACTGCCTCCAGCATCACACACACACACTGGGAGTTGAAATTAGGCAAATACCCCGATAACTTCTAAGATCCAGTTGCTCATACTAAAGGTTCTGAGTTGGTTATAGCTAAAAGGCCTTGCTAAAAGAGATGATGTTGGGGTAATAATAATAATAGCCATTTACCATGTATTAGGGCATGGTCTATCTCTTTACATTTAATCACAACAACCCAATGAAGTAGATACTGTTCTTAAACTCAATTTATAGAAGAGGAAACTGCTTCCCAAAGAGCTTAAAAATAACTTGCCCTGCGTTACACAGCTGGAAAGTAGTAGAAGCAAGATTTGAACTCCTAGTCTGGCTCCAGTGTGTACTCTTATCCACTGTGCTCTAATCTTAAAAGAACTGCATGAGCTCGTCATTAATTTTACTTGACTAGCTTTAGTTGCTTGGCTCCTACAAGGTCCTAATACCGCTCAACTTATTTGTGGCATTTCTTTATTGTAACTAACCCTAAAGGATCCTCACATTCCCAGCCAGGCATCTCTTACCAATTTATGGGATTCAAAAGATAAGAATTCTTTTTAACAAGTAAGTGGTTACCCAACTCTGATTAGAAAATGGAAAATATTCTAGGACTTTTGTAAACAGAATTAATATGAAAAGTGAGGAGGTTCGCTAACCTTCATAATGAGAGGAGTTCCTGAGAACTTAGTTTACTCTGAAAACCCATTCAGTCACAGGATAAATTGGACTTTTATCCTTTAGGAGACTTCTGCTTTGACAAGGTGTATTAAATATTTAGTTATTTTCCAGAACACCCTTGTAAGATAGGTTAATATTAATAACCCAATTTATGCAGGCAATACTCTAAGCACAGAAAAGGATGTTGATATGTCTAAGATCTCATAGCAGTTCTAGAATCAGAAATACCCTTCTTGGAGTTTTATGCTTAGTTGCTGTATCGCCTTGTAGTCTTTTACTTCTAAGAAAAACCAAACTGACAGGATTTGAAGTAGATGTTGAATGCTTTGCAAGTACAGAGCGTTAAGCACGGAAGAGTGTTTCCGTTTTCACCTGGGACGTTGTTATCTAAAGCATTTCATTTAAATCATGTAGTTCCTTAAAAAGTAAAAAACTCGTACTTCTCAAGGTTAGTCTAAGCCTTAGAAGCTTCTCATTTTTGCATCAGCAAAGAAGAATAGTCATATGCATGGAAGATGACGTGTTAGTTTTCAGGTGTCTTTCCATTTTCCCTTCTCCAACATCTTGTGTTTCTTTAATGAGAACATCATCTCCACGTCTGCTGGGAAGACAAGTGATATCTTTCCATGTAGGCAACTTTTTGTAGTTCCCCAGTAAGCTGGAATAGACCCATCCTATAGTCCAAAGAATAGAAACTTTCGTTCTTTCTGAAGTGCTTCAGTTCTCCCTCAGACAACTGGAAGGAGTAATTTAAAAATTAGGCAATTTGACTTTCTATTATTAGCCTTGAAACTTTTGTAAACCATACCACAACTCTAAACTAGTCTTTTTAACTATTAGTCTAAGAAAATCGCTATCAACAGTTTTAACCCAAAAGCATATAGTTTTTATGAGCATTTTGATTCTGGTTACTTCCAAGAAATATCCAAACCTAAACTTCTTATTCTTCCTTTTATTTTCCCAGTTCTCTCTAATCCCCTTTTCTGCCCTCTTTCTGAGAGACCTTGGCCCCAATTTCCTGAGTTGGAGGACAAGACATTCTTAGAATGCAGAAGGCTTACTTCAAGAAGGTGTCTGGGTTTAAGGTCACGCAGGAGGACTCATTTCAGCTTCGGGATCTTATGCACATCATATCTTATAAATTACCTCTAAAGCACTTTTTAATATTGCAGACATTTAAAAAGATGAAACCAATTAAATTTTTATAATTGGAAGAGGGTGGAAGAGAAAAATAAGAGATGCAAAGGTTGGGGAGGAGAAAGTCAATGCAGAAAACACAGCTAGCATTTCACTGGCTTTCATGTTAAAAGTTTGTCCTTGGCTTTTGTAACATTGAGTTTTACTCAGCCTGTGTCAAGGTGAAAAATGGTTTGAAGGCAAATTCACCAAAGCTGAAGTCAGAGAATATTCACTAGGGATAACGTGTTTTAAAATTATCAACATCATTGTCGTTATTTCCTCTCTGCTTTTAATAGTCGTGCTTATTTATATCCCAATTAAGAATTGTCTCTGGGAAGTGCAATGTTCTTCATAGTAAATTGGGTGTGCAGAGTTGTTTGTTATCGCTCTGTTTTATTTTAATGCTCTTATGCTTAGTTTTCCCGTGCTTACCTGCACATACTAGATGGTGAAGGCAGAAATGGAGGCAAATCAACAACCCTTGTCCTCTCACAGGAGAATCTGGTGAAACAGTGACTACCATTCCTCATCACATGCACATACACACGCACACCCGCCACACTTTCCATCACTGTCACATTGTACTTCTCATTGGCTCACAGACACAAACGAGAACTCCTGTTCCTGGTGCTTTGCTCTCCACATTCTTCCTCCCTGCCTAGAAAGCTGCCTTGTCTACTTCTGCTGCTGAAGAGGTAGCATTGACTAATGGAAAGCCAAGAGGCTTTGCAGTAAGGTAGACCTGATTCAAATCCCGGATCAACCACTTACTGTTTGACCTTAGGCAAGTTACTTAATTTCATTGAGAACCAGTTTCCTTATCTGCAAAATGAAGATTAATAATACTTCATTAGGTTTTTTTGAGGGTTAAGTGGAAGAAAAATCAAAGCTCTCAGCAAATATTGACTCTCTTCCTGTAGTCGCCCCATTTTAAGTCCTACCTATTCTTCAGAATTCACGTTCAACCTACTCAAAGCTTGTTCTCTGAAGCACTTGCTTGGCACAACATGCTACCTCATTATTGTTTGTTGTCTTGTATTTACTGTCTCCTCAAGTTGTTTATGAGTTTCTTGAGAGCTGAAGCTCTCTTGAAGCAAAGAATCCTCAGATTCTGACAACCTTGTTGAATATGGTAGCCTCAGATGTGTGATAGTATAGAATTGGGAAATGGAGAGTGACTCCCTAAGCGTGTGATCTAAGTCTAAACTCAGTAAATTGGAAAAAATTTTGAGTCCATTGTTTTCTGCCACAATAAGGGAAATGGCCTGAGGAGGGTTTTCTTAAATTATGGAATCTAGAAGGGAGTCCTTAAATCCAGAAAGAGACTTCTTGTATTTCCATTGCTGCAGAGAGAGCTTGATTGGGTACATACATCTTTTGGAGATAACATTCTCTAAATGATAAACTTTTAGAGCATGTTTGAATGTTCTGGTAAAGGAGGGAAGTTACCTATACACACTTACCCAAAGACTTGTCCTCTGCTAGGGAAGTTGTGGGCTGCCACTGAACATGCCTCTTCCTTGACAGTGCACATGAAACAAGCAAGGAAGAGGACGGCTTTTCAGCTAGCCAGATCCCTGCCACATCAGACACAACAGCCTAGTAACATATTCCCCTGACCATCAAGTCGAGCTGGATAGTGGCTCTTTATCCATATTAACACACAATCCCTGATAAGGTCAAAACTCTAAGTCTCACTGGCAAAATTGTAGTAGAGGTCAGGTTCACTACACATTTCAGAAGGTATCAAAGAGGTCTCTGATTACATTCAAGATTTGACATTTTATGCTTAGGAAAATCTTTATCTGCATGACTAGAATTTGTTTTCCAGAAGAAAAATAAGCACCTTTGTGATACTGCAGTCTTAAATGTGGATTCTCCCCCACAACCATCCCCCTTTAAGCCCTTGGTTTTTAATTTATAATCTCTTACCTTTGGGTATATCTTTCATTCTAAGCTATGATGCAAGAATGGTATATTTCTCTGCTACAATTCCTCTCTCTCCAGACTTATTCAGGCACTAATCTGTAATTTCTCACCTTTGAAAGGCAAATAGAAGGAAAATTTCTGTTTTAGGATATTTTTGACTCTCGTAGAAATGTTTCAAAATCATTCATTATGAATGGGAATGAGATCTTGGGACTTGGTCTTTGTTGATGGAGTTTTTTTCCCCAAATACTTTGTTCTTACAATAGCCTAGCAGGTGAAACTTGAACTTCACTGCAAAGTCTTGAGTCACAATAATGATCTGGCTTCAGATGCTCCAGCTCACTGATTGTTGTGTGTTCTGCTGGAGAAAAACTGACACTGTCACCTTTTTGCTCTTCTTGATACTTGGGGACCTTGAGCCATGGGACTACTCAAGAGAGATGTTTCTAATGTTCTCTATCTGTGTCTCTTGTCATTGAGGTAATTGTCATGCGAAAACCCTGGACAACAGCCATGACAAACAGAAATATTTTGACAAGTCACAGTCACCGGACGCTGCTGAAGAAGAGCCCTCTGGGACAGGAGCAGAGGAGGACCCTGTGCTCTCTGCTGAGAATTCGGGGGGGGACTCAGATGCCCTTAGACTTGAAAGTAAGTTGATTTGACCTGAGCTGTGCTTCTGGGATAAAATCAACTCTCAAGCTTTAAACTTAGAATTTTCTCTCCTCTCAAGAGTTTGTTTCCTTCTTTTACAGTCACACACTGCATTGTGGAATCATGAGGGTGACCCTCAGGTGGGGAGCCGGAAGACAAGCTATAATGTGAAAATACTCTTCACACTTCTTTCTTTTTTCTGCACCTCAACAGCTTCTTTTGCTAGAACAAATTTGATTCATTTATGTACCAGTCTTTCTTCTTAATGTTATTAGTCTATTGAGTAAGTCATTGAAAAGAAGGAAGATAAGTTGTATATACACTATCCCAATAAAATTTAAAGATTTGGAATAATGGGCGTAACTACCAGGCCTTTTCCTAAAACTCCATTTTATTGAGCTGTGCCTTACTGAACAGTTCTTAAGATTGTCAGTCAATTCATAGTTGCCAGAATGAATGACTTCTTTTTAATACTCAGCCTGCTTAACCACTTCACTGCGTTTGGAACTGTGCACAACTCCCCACTTCTTGAAACACTCACACGTGTCCTTCTGCTCTTGGCTTCTGGGATATCACTTGCTCTTGGCTCTCTTCATATCCTCAAAACATCCTTTTCAATTTCCTTCACTTATTCTTTACTTTGCCCCTTATTTTTTGGGTTACCCAGGATCGTAAGCTTGGTCTTCTTGTCTTATCACTCTCTGTGTTATCTCCTGATGTTTCAGATACTTTTGAGTATACCAATGATTCCAAATCGATATTTTCAGCTAAGACATTCTCTACAACTCCAATCTTTTTTCCACTGTTTTAGTGGTCTGTTTTTCTGGATGTGCCATAGGCATTTCAGATTTAACATATCCAAAACTGAGCTTGTCCTCATTTTCACCCTGTTTCCGGAACTGCTTCTAATTCCTGTGTCCCTGCTCTCTGTTAATGACACAACCCATCCAGTCACCACTGTATCAGATCAGTCCCTAAGACCTGTTCAGTCTGTCGTCTCTTCATCTGTTCCTTCTGCCACTGCCTGAATTCTGACTTTCTTTATTTCTGCCTGGGCTATTGCAGTAGCTTCATAAGTGGATTCCTTGTATCTAATCTTTTACTTCAGTCTATGTACGGAGAGAGAGAGAGGGAGAGAGAATGTGTGTGTGTGCGTGTGTGTGAGTGTGTGTAGGAGAGAGAGAGAGAATACATGTAGTTGGTAGAAACTGTAAGGAGCAGTAGCAACCTCTGTTGCCAATTTCTTCTGTGTCCAAAGAGTTGTTTCTAAAATCAGATCTGATCCTGTAAGTTACCTGCATTCAAAATTTTCAATGGCTGTTAACCGTGGGAGAGTCCGAATGTCTTAGTGCAGGGTATAAGGTGGTTTGGCCCTCGATTCTGCCTCCAACTGTACCATCTTCTAGTACCCTACGTAGCAGGGAGTACAAACCTTTCATCATCTCCCTCACATGCCGTGCTGCTTTGAGCCTCCATGTCTTTGCGCAGGCTGGGAATGGCCCCTGTGCACTCTGCTTTATGTGGACAACTCCTACAATCTCCGAGATGCACTCAAGTGTCACCTCCTCTGGGAAGCATTCACAAAGGTCTCCAAGCATTTAGTTGCTCCATTTGCTGTCTTGTTCCTGCTTTTTGTCAAGGCAGATTTCATACAATATTAATTGCTTGTATGTCTTGTCTCCCAGCAGACTATGAGCTTCTTTTGTATCATGTCCTGTATAACTTTATATTCCTGTATACAGTAACTATTTGCTAAAGTATGAAATGTGCCATTTGCCTTCCTGTGTAGGTTGGGTTAACATATTTAGCACTTACAAAATCCTGTGTTTCCTTCTAAGTGATACTGTATGTAAAAAATGATGTCTAAGAGAAGCCAGCTAGACCTCCAAGGGGAGGTTATGACCTTCACCTTTGCAGTTTGAGAAATTAGTTTAATCAGTTCTATCAGAAATGTTTGGGCTTTAGGGAAACTAACTCCCATTTACCAACTCGAAAGAGATCGATTCTTAAGCTAGACAGCCAGTCTGCTCATGTCCAGTGGGGCTCCTCCTTTCTGGCACCTGGCAGCCTCGTGTCTCTTTCTGGCATCAAGGTACCCACACAACAAAATGTGACGTCATGAAATGGCTTGATAAACTCAAAATCCACACATATGAAACTGAGTATCGACAAGGGATATTTTATTCAGTTTCTGGAAACTGTCCCTGTTCCAGAGCAGTACTACTCCCTAGTGACCAGAATACTCATGACAACCAAACTAGAGTCTGTTTTCCTAGGACCATTCAGAATAAAACCTAACCAAATTCTTGCTCTGTGTCTCCTGAATACCTCATTCCTTGAGACAGAGTATAACCTAGTGCTTAAGTTTCTTTAGTCTATGCTCCCCATCTAATTCCATGCCATCTCCATGCTGAGGACACAGTACAGTTGCGCGGGCTGAGACTAGGTGTTTTCCAGGTCCCTTCAACATCATGCAAACAGTTTCTTAGGTGGATTCCTTTTCAGATCGCTGATTTAATCCATAGTATGATGATGACTTACTAGTTGGACTCTCAGGTACTAACTTTTCTTTACCATAGGTCTAAACTCTGAGAGTACCTTCTTCTTTTCCCTAGATGCTGACAACATGTCCATGGTATACAGTCGTGGTATAAGTTAGCAAATTCATACCAGCATGCCTCCTATGGTGTGGTTAACAGAGTCAGAAAAACTCCATTTTTTAGTACAAATATTGTGTTATATTAAAAGCCAAGCAGAGACATTAAAGAATTTTTGAAAACTCTGTAGGAAAATTTAAAGAAATGCAAATAGTTAAGCCCTCTCCAGTAACCATAAACTATTATGATAATCACTGCTTTTTGTGATACTTTATAATTTACAAAGCATGAATTATGTGTTAACCCTGTGAAATAGATATTATTATTAAGCCCATCTTAGATGAGAAAATTGAGACTCAGAGAAGTTAGGTGCCTAAGATCTTCAGTGGATGGTGTAGCTAGAGCTCATCCTCAGGGCTCCTGATTCCATACACTGTGTCCTTCGCCTGTGTTTCTGAAAAATAGGGGTTTGGTGGGTTAGAACTTTATTCTTCAATTGCTAAGGTCATTTTTAAAGAAACCTATCATCTGCTATTACTATTATTTTATAAAGCAAAGAACATTTTAATGTCAAAAAAGACAATCTCAGAATAAAGGTCAATCTTTCACCAAAATGGACAGTTGGCAACCTTACACCATCAAGTGTGTATCTGGACATAAATGTATGTGTGTGTGTGTGTGCATGCGCGTGTGTGCGCGTGTGCACAATAACTTTATATGCATGTCCTTTTTTCTTTCTCATTTTGCTAAGGATTAGTGAAAACTGTGTCACTGATTAACATGTGAAAAGCCCTGCTTTCAGACCTCCTCATCTTGTACTGAATTCCTCTCAGGTAAATTTGACTGTGGAAGGAGGAGCGTAGGTTTTGTAGTCAGAGATGTTATCAGGTCCTGGCTCTACCACCTGTACTACTTGTTAAATCTTGAGCCTTCTTTATCTCACTAATTTAAAAATAAACAAAATGCCTCAGTGGTTTTGAGCATTTAAATGAAATAACTTAGGGAAACATTTCAGTGCCTGGTGCACAGTTGGAACTCAGCCAGTGTTGACTTCTACAAGCATGGGCATGACTCTGCTGCTTCTGGACTTACGGGCTGCTTGTGAGCCAGAGTCTTCACAAGTACATGCACATAGTCTCTGCTCGGTTCAAGGGAGCCCTGCATATTTGCACAAGAGTTGTGACAGGAAAGGTTCCCTGTTCACTTTTCTCACTTATCTTCTCAAAATTCTCTGTTTTCTCTTGCTGTACTGACCCCACTAGAAGAAAGAGGAACACCATTCATGCAAATGAGAACGCATGGTTGTTGTTTTCTTCTTAGAAGTAAATCATTTCCCTTCCTGCCTTAGTCCGAGTGATTTAAGCTAAGCCTTTTGTGCTTTCTGATTTCTGGCTTGAAATTGTATGCTATTGTTTATGCATTAAATCTTAAACAAGTCCACAGCTTTACACTCTGACTTCAGAGTCAGATGGCTGCCTTTGAAAGAGGACACTAGAACTCAAGACAGAATTACCCAAAGTCCTATGGTGATAGAGTTCTAATTTGAAACCAAGTTTGTCTAATTGCATAGTATACTCTTTTTTTGTGTGAAACAAAGGGACATATTCCCTTTATGGTATTATTCTTAAAGGTAGAATGTGTCTTGCTTGCTTTCAGAAACCACAGGCTAGTACTCAGACCTGTTGATGTTAATCATATCAGACTTTCTGGAGGAAACGTTTTGAAAGTCAGATGTTGAAGGAAGGATTTTCTTTGGCTGGTCATTGCTTTGAAAGTGTGATTTTTATTGTCAATCTGTTTTGTTTTGAATGTAGCACTTATCTTTCCATCCTCTGCTCCCTAAAACTCTTCTTGAAACCTCTCTTCCGAGATTTTTTTTTTTTTTTATTAATGTTATGATAGATTACAACCTTGTGAGATTTCAGTTGTACATTTTTGTTAGTCATGTTGTGGGTACACCACTTCCCCCTCCGTGCCCTCCCCCCACCCCCCCTTTTCCCTGGTAACCACCGATCAGATCTCCTTCTCAATATACTAAATTCCACCTATGAGTGGAGTCATATAGAGTTCGTCTTTCTCTGACTGACTTATTTCGCTTAACGTAATGCCCTCGAGGTCCATCCACATTGTTGTGAATGGGCCAATTTTGTCTTTTTTTATGGCTGAGTAGTATTCCATTGTGTATATATACCACATCTTCTTTATCCAATCATCAGTTTCTGGGCATGTAGGCTGGTTCCACGTCTTGGCTATTGTAAATAATGCTGCGATGAACATAGGGGTGCAACGGACTCTTGAGATATCTGATATCAGGTTCTTAGGATAGATACCCAGTAATGGGATGGCTGGGTCATAGGGTACTTCTATTTTTAACTTTTTGAGAAATCTCCATACTGTTTT